GGAGGAGGAGGAGGAGGAGGAGGAGCAGGAGGAGGAGGAGGAGAAGGAGGAGGAGGAGGAGGAGGAGGAGGAGGAAAAGGAGGAGGAGGAGGAGGAGGGTGGTGCGCCGAGGCTTCGTGCCGCACTGCGGCGGCGCCAGGGGCTGATTCTGAGGTCCGGGTACTCCCACCGCGCGCTTCGAGCGAGGAGACGGAGGCGTTCGCGGTGGAGGGGTAGGCCCCCCTCGGTATCGTTTATCCAATCCCCATCCCCATCCTCATTCCCGTGGAGACCCCCACCGTATTACCACCCCAGTTGGGAATACACCCCTCGAAACCCGAAGGCAACGGCCTATATCCCCGTCTAGGGGGGTAAATCGGCCAGCGGGGCCCAGGCCACGCCGCTGGGGATGGGGATCGGTTAAACGATACGCATCCGCGGTGGAGGGGGAGGCCCCTCCGAGAGCGGAGGACCCTGCAGCGATCTTCTGGCGATCGCAAACCTGGATCAAGGGTTAAGTCGGGCGTGTCCCTCAATCCCTCTATGCAGCGATCTTCGGGCGATCGCAAACCTGGATCAAGGGTTAAGTCGGTTATGGGTCCGACTTTTTGTATGTTAGCATGTTTTGAGCATTTGTTTACAATGTTAAGTTTTTCGGCCACAATCCGCCTGTAGGGGGACATGCCCGACTTAAATCAAGGGGGGGGGTGGATTAGCGACAGGCCCCGTTTCCGCGGGAAATCGCGGGCTTCCGTCTCCGAGCGAGACGGCACCGGCCGCATTTGGGGGAGGGCTTTTCCCCCGATCCATGGATTTGGTGACCGCGCGCCAAATCCATGGTTCGCGCGCTCCCGAGATCTTCTGGACGATCTGCACGTTTTGAGGATCGAGCGCGGAGTAAACCCAAGATGCAGCAACAATGCTGCAATACGACACCCCGTCCCAAGCCCCCTCCTCGGCTTCTTGCAGGGCCTGCTTCGACTACAAGGGTCTAAGCCAGAGCAGTGGGGGTAACACTGATAGGGGGAGGGGGCGAAGTAATAGGTGCAATCGCACTGCAGCAGAGTTGCATGGATTTCCCCAGTTGCGCGGTCCTGCAATCGTGTACTCCTGCAAGCGCAATAGCTCACGCCCCTCGCAAGACTTCCCCCCCCGCAAGAGTTGGCGCGGGGGGTCGCGCAGGAGTTCGCGCGAGCGCACTCGTGGCCCTCGCACCGCCCCCACCTCGTGCCGGTCTGGATTGATGGGCCTGTTCTCCACCACCACCATAAGTTGGAGGGGGAGGAGGGGACCCTCCTCTTCGTCCTCCTCCTCGTCCTCCTCCTCCTCGGCCTCCTCCTCCTTCCCCCACCAACTTGTGGTGGTGGTGGTGGTGGTTGTGGAAAACAAGCCCATCATGGATCGGAGCGCCCCATGGACAGACCAGCTTCCTTATGTGTGATCGCCAGTTCTCGCGAGGCAGCCCCGTTGTGAGAAAGATCTGCCGCACCCGTCTGCCGGAGCATAAGGGGGGTGCGAGAAGAGAGAAGGCACGATCCACGAGTTCAACGAGATGTCCAGTGAGAGCAGCACGGTTGAAAAGAGTCGCCCCCTTTTAGTGGAAGGCTTTGAAGGCAAGTTTAGTTTGCCGCCATCCGTCCTGTCAGCTGGTGCACGCGTGTGCAGTGGGGTCGCGCATCAAGAAACCATCTGCTTTTCGTCAAGGTAACCCTGGGTTTCTTCGCTCCGCTCGCTGCGCGGTGACTTCCCGCAACCGTTGAAGAAGCTGCTGCGCTCGGGATGCTCAGGTCTTCACCTCGCACGCGGGGTTTTCAGGGTTGGGTTTCTTGCGAAGGTTTCTTGCGGCCGCGCCCGCACTGTACGACGAGTGTGCGCGGCGCCTCGGCCAAAGTCCCAAATTGAAGACCAACTCCATGCACCCCAGCAGCCGTTGCGAGCGTTCCAGGCGAGTGTGCGTGGCGCTGAGGCGAAAGCCCTGTTCTGACGACCACCCCCTTCTTATCTTTTTCGCGTTTGAACGTTTCCATCTTCGGGGTCGTAGACGTTGAGGAAGTATCCGGCGAAACGCCGAGCCCGACGCAGCAACGTCTGGAGCTGCGACGTGGAGGCGTTTTCTTTCAGGAAGTGGGATGGACTGGGGCCGCATATGTAATCGCGACGGCTCCAGGCGGCTCTCAAGACGGCCCAGGGGAACCCAAGAGGGCCCAAGAGGGCCCCAAAGACCGCCCAAGAGGCCCCCGAAACAGCCCAGCAGGTCTCCTCAGACGGCTCAGGATAACTACTTTAATTCTCACCTCGCGGGGGGCGTTTGGGCCAGTTCGCCCTTGTCCCCAGGCCTGGGGTGAGTCCAAACTAAATTTTCTAGGGAAACCCTGCGGTGGTCACGAGGGCATTCGAAAGAGAGAGACGAGGATTAGGAGGTAGATGAGGAGCAGGAGGGTTAGAAGGAGAACACCGAGAGACGGAGGAGGAGGAGGGACAAGACTAGGCAAAACCCGGGGTACACGAACCGTGCAGCACACCCTCGCGTCCCAAGTCTACTCCTCGTGAGTTTCTGCGCTCAGTCCATCACACTACGGGGAGCGCCTCCTTGAATGGCGAGTGCCCCATGCGCCTGCAATGCATGATCGAGCCCAGCTTCAACAGAGCATGCCTTCTGACCCTCCTTCTTTTGGAGATTGAACGAGGAAGAGCCAGAAAGTCCAAGGACGTACATAGCGAGAGCCCAGCTGCATAGTATTGGCGAGGAGCCGTCTCCAGCTGTGGCGCAATATCAAGTGTCTGGTCATGGAGGACTCTGGCGAGAGCCCTGTCCTGATCAAGAAGGCACCCCAACAATCCAAGATGGCCCCCGCGCGGCCCCACGATACGGAAGGTTCGTGTCGTGTCGACCGGCGGCGACCCCGCCAGCAGCGCTCACTTTCGAACGCCGTGGTCGACCCAGAATCGTTCGATGTGGAACGATTTAGACGGTTTGGGAACGGCCGATCGTTCCAGACTGACCGATCCCCGCGGTGTCAGAAGCCAACGCCGAAGTTGGCACGACACGAACCTTAAGTCGGCCTGTCCCTCTACAGGAGGAAAATTCAAAAATAGTCTAAAATAGTCGGGGGACGTTTTTGGTGTATTTTTGAGCGTGTTTGAATATTATTTGAGGATGTTTTGTTTTTCGCCCGAAATCCCCCTGTAGGAGGACATGCCCGACCTGACACGATGTATCGCCAGTGCATTGCCGATACATTGCCGATGTATCGCCGATGTGTCGGCGATGCGGCGCGATCCTCCGACCCCATCTATTCCGACCTCACCTCGGAGACCTCTAACCTTGTATCCGCCCGCCGTCTCCTACCCTCTCGGGGTCGCCTTCGACCTAAGCGTTTGGTGGGCTCCCAGGCCCCCCCCCCTAAGCCTCAGGAGCTCCTCAGCTCTTGACTGATTTGGGTCAGGAGGGGGTTTTCTTTGGGTGGGCTCTCTTGTGCAAGGGAGGAAAAACCACTCCGACCCGACAATTGACGTTTACTGAACGGCCCCGGGCGTTGACGGAGCAGCCCTGCCCTGCCCTGTCCGATTCCTCCTCTGGGTGGGTTTATGTAACGGCCTCACTTCTAGGAGTGATTCGAGTGGGGGTGGATTTCCTGCCCTCTATACTTGTTCGGAGGGCACCAACTATACACCAACACCGATCCTGGCCAGGATCGGTGTTGGTGTATAGTTGGTGCCTTCCTACTTGTGGCCGTCCTCGGGCAGTGCTCGACCCACTCTGGAGCCTCCGAAGGGCGCGTCCCGCGGCAGTCTCAGGGGGCCAACCCCCGCCCGCCCGCGCACCGAGGCCCGGGAGCCAGCCCCGGGAGGCCCCGCGCCCCCAGACGGGGCAGAGGTCGTCTGCGCCTGACAGCCCTGTCCCCCCTCCTCTTCCTCCTCCTCTCTCCACCTCCTCCTCCTCCCTCTTCCTCCTCCTCCCTCCTCCTCCTCCTCCTCCTCCTCCTCCCCTCCTCCTCCTCCTCCTCCTCCCCCTCCTCCCCCCTCCTCCTCCCTCCCCCGCCTCCCCCCTCCTCCTCCTCCTCTTCCTCCTCCTCCTCCTCCTCCTCATCATCATCATCATCATCATCCTCATCCTCTTCCTCGGCTTCACGCAGTACCTGCGGATGACGTCGGCGGGTCCGACTAGAGTTGAGTCGGGCCTGTTCCTCTACAGGAGGAATGCTCAAACATAGTAGCAATAGTTTGGGAACCATGCTTTGACTATGTGTTGCATGTGTTGTGTATTTTCAGTGCGTGAAAAAAGTTGGCCAGAATCCGCCTGTAGGGGGACATGCCCGACCTAAGACTAGAGCCTGAGTTCGCGCAGCACGCGCGTGGTTCTGGTCTAGATCTGCTTGCATGCATATAGAATATAGATGTGTATCCTTATCATTCCACCCACCTTCGATTACTTTTTCTGCATCCTTGCAAGCATCCTCCTATGATAGCACTTCAACAGCCTGTTTCTAGTCACGCGTCGGCACTACAGAGAAGCACTTGTGGGTTGTGTTTATCGTGTGCGCGAGCACTTGTGCTGCCTTACGCGTCGGGATCACACGCTCCTTCCTCCCCTCCCCTCCCCCTTCCCATCCCTTCACCCTCCTCTTCCTTCACCGTCGCCCTCCCTCTCTTCATCCTTCTCCTTCTCCGCCGCTGCCTCGTTGGTCCCCCTCTCTCATCCTGGCATTCTCGATGCACAAGGCCCTCAGCCTGTGTGCTAATGAGTGCCCCTGGCTTGGCAAGAAGTCGGGCATGAGTGCAAATACACAAACAGATGCGGAAGGAGGAAGGGGGAAGGAATATAAAGAGAGAGAGAGAGAGGGAGGGAGAGAGAGTGAGAGAGAGGGCGAGAAAGAGAGAGAGAGAGAAAGAGACAGAGAGAGCCGACATACAACACAGACAAAATAACAAGACGGAGCGAGCGTTGGACAGAGGGAGCAAGGGACAACACTTCTCGAGACACATTTGTGCATACTTGGGTTTGGGCGCCAGCTTATGCCGAGACGCCGTGGTGGAGATCATGCCGTCCACCGATACTCCGGAAGCGGTCGCCGCGAGCGGAGGCCCCACTTCTCCGGGCTCCGCGCCGGCAGGCGCGAGCGCGGGCTCACCCTTCCCTGCGCGCGGGGGGGGTCCAGGGCCACTGCTGGTGAGGACCTTCAGCGCGGAGCCGCTGGTCGCCGGTTCCGCATTCGTCCGGTGGCTCCCTGGAAGCGGGGCCAGTAGCTGCCATCGGGTGCCTCGCTTCTCTTGCGCGCCAGGAGTCCGGGGGCCGATTTCGTCAGGATCTTCCGCGTGCTCCCTCGAACCGGATTCCGTTTTGGCGCCCGGGCAGAATTTTGGCATGCATCCTTGGATACATGGATGTAGTTGCAAGTTGCCAGCAGTTGTTTGGAGCACCTCGGCTCCTGTCATGCAGTTCCATCCATTGTCACCGCAGCTCTCCAGTGTTTGTTTCGGCGTTGGAGGTGTGGTTTGAGTTGGCTATCACGAAGTCAGATCGCTCGGCGCCTAGCGGCCCTTTGAAATTACGTGAGCTAGTATTTAGTTACGCTTATTTCAGTTGATGTTGGATGCGCCACCCCTGTGGGATATGCCGATGTCGTACTAAGTCCTTCGGTGTCTCGGTTTGGAAGCTTTGTTCTGCGGAAGTGTGTGTACATTTGTTTTGGCGTCCATCTCGCTGACTGTCTTTCTGCCGACCAGGAGTTGCTGGGTAGTGCTAAGTGCAGCATGTTGAGCTTATGGTGTCGATGCGGAAGGAGGGCGAGGACGACGACAACGACGAGGATGTGTTCCAGCCAGCCCCATGGGCCATGGACCGACTACTAGACTTGTTCGTCCGGTGCCACACATGGTTTACAGTATGGAGCAGGCGGGTGGCGGAGGAGGAGGATCAGGTGAGGGAGGCAGTGAGGAGGAGCAAGAGGAGGAGGAGGAGAAGGACCAGGACCAGGACCAGGAGGAGGCGGAGGAGGAGGAGGAGGAGCAGGAGGAGGAGGAAAAAGGGGGGCGAGGAAGGGAGGAGGAGCAGGAGGAGGAGGAAAAAGGGAGGCGAGGAAGGGAGGAGGAGGAGGAGGAGGAGAAGGAGGAGGAGGAGGAGCAGGAGGAGGAGGAGGAGGAAAAAGGGAGGCGGAGGAGGAGGAGGGAGGAGGAGGAGGAGGAGGAGGAGGAAAAAGGGAGGCGGAGGAGGAGGAGGAAAAAGGGAGGCGGAGGAGGAGGAGGAGGAGGAGGAGGAGGAGGAGGAGGACCTCCCCATCCTCCATGCTCCCCCGTCCAGTACCCCATGGCAGTGGTGGTGGGAAGTGGGCCCCTCAAGCCAGCGCGCGGGGCGGCCACGAGGCGCCCACGGCCACCCGCCGGGGGAAGCCCCGGCGGACCCGTCCAGGGACTTGCCGGCACAAGCCAAAATCCCTTGAGGCAGGCTCTGCTCGGGGAGCCAAGGCGTTGGAGGTCTGGGCTCGACGTGGGTTCGGGGCGCACGACATGGGTGTTTGGGGAAAGGGGTGGTGACATCTGCATTGCATGCAGCTGGTCTCGGCCCCGTCGCCGGACATTTGCCTAGAAACTTGATCGCGCCCGGGGGCGCCAGGAAAGCCACCTGCATCAAGCTGGTTCGCTGGTCCCCTCTTTCGTACCCCCCTTTCGTCCAACCAGAAACACGCACCGCAGGGATTGACGAAAGCAGGGTATCCCCATGGGCTGTTTTCGTTTTGATCTCGTTCTCGTTGTGTTCTCGCTCCAGGTGCCATTGGGAGCCGATCGTAGCTCCAGAGGCGCACCAACGCGCTGCGCGCCGGGGCAAACTTCTTCCGGGACCCCAGGCATCGCCTCAGAAGCGAACGTGGGGGACCAAACGCCTGCTCACGCTGTCCTGGTCGACTCCTGGTGCGGGGGGGGGGGACTGTAGCGTTAAGTCGGGCGTGTCCCTCTGCAGGGGGAATATTCAAAAATAGTCCAAACCAAAAGAACAGTCTGGGACGATGTTTCCATTATTTTTGACTCTTCTTGCGCATTGTTTGTTTAGTTCTATTTATCGTCCAGAGTAAGCCTGTAGGAGGACATGCCCGCCTGAACTCTGGCGATCGGCGGCGGCGCGAGCACGCTGGCGATCGGCGCGACCACGGAGCCCCCCCTGACGGGCGTGTTTTCCACCACCACCACCATCAGCTTAGGGGGGGGAAGGAGGTGGAGGATGAGGAGGAGGCAGAGGAGGGGGAGGAGGACCCCCTCCCCCTCATGCGTACACTTATGGCAGTGGCGGCGAAAACAATCCCACCACCCCCCGTGAGGAGTGCCCCCCGCCACCGCAGCGCGCGAGCGGCACCTGCGCGGGCAAGGGCCTCGCGCCCCGTGCGGGCGGCGGGGGGGGGGGGGGGGGGGGGGCGGGGATGCGGGGGCGCGCGTGCTCGGCGCCGCCGCTCGCCGTGTCGCGACCGAGTGGAGCTGATGTTGGTACTTTTTTCATAGGAGGAGGAACAAGGGAGGAGGAGGAGGAGGAGGAGGAGGAGGAGGAGGAGGAGGAGGAGGAGGAGGAGGAGGAGGAGAGGAGGAGGAGGAGGAGGAGGAGGAGGAGGAGGAGGAGGAGGAGGAGGAGGGGGAGGGGGAGGAGGAGGAGGAGGAGGAGGAGGAGGAGGAGGAGGAGGAGGAGGAGGAGAGGAGGGAGAGGAGGAGGAATAGGGAGGGGAGGAGGAGGAGGAGGAGGAGGAGGAGGAGGAGGAGGAGGAGGAGGAGGAGGAGGAGGAGGCGGAAGAGGGGAATGGGAGGGAGGAGGAGGAGGAGGAGGAGGAAAGAGGAGGAGGAGGCAGGAGGAGGAGGAGGAGGAGGAGGAGGAGGAGGGGAGGAGGAGGAGGGGGAGGAGGAGAGGAGGAGGAGGAGAGGAGGAGGAGGAGGAGCAGGAGGAGGAGGAGGAGGAGGAGGAAGGAAGAGGGGAAATCGATGATGAGGAGGAGAAGGAGGAGGAGGAGTAGGAGGAGGAGGAGGAGAGGAGGAGAAAAGAAGAAGAAGAAGAGGGGAAAAGGGAGAAAGATGATGATGATGATGAGGAGGAGGAGGAGGAGAGGAGGAGGAGGAAGAGGGGAAATCGATGAGGAGGGGAGGAGGGAGGAGGAGGAGGAGGAGAAGGAGAGGAGGAGGAGGAAGAGGAAGAGGGGAAAAAGGAGGAGGAGGAGGAGGAGGAGAAGGAGGAGGAAAGAGGAGGAGGAGAAAAGGGATGAGGAGGAGGCGGAGGAGGAGGAGGAGGAGGAGGAGGAGGAGGCGAAGGAGGCTCGTGGCACGCCAGCGGTCGGCACACCGGCGATCGGCGGCGCGGGCGGGGCCCCCTCGTAGGGGCCCGCCGGGGCTCGGCGGCTGGGCAGGGCCGCGGCTGCGGGCACGCCGCCTGCGCGCGTGCGCGCGGCGTGCTCGCGGGCGCGGCGCCGGCTGCCGAGGCCTGACCATCGGGCAGAAGGTCGAGCTCCTCCGCCGCGACCTCAGGTCAGTATCGTCGAACCTGTCCTCATCCCCGCTGGGCCATGGGATCGGCGGCACGTCAGAGTGGCCAGAGAAATTTCTCGGTGCCGGTCCGCCGGGCCCCCCCGATTGGCTCAGTCGTTGCGATGGCAGCGGCTTGCGCGCTTGGATGTTGCCCCCCGCGCCCTCCTGAAGCCGCGCACCAGAGCCCCCTCTCGCGTAGAGCCACTCCCGCGTGCAGCCGATGGCAGTTTGCCCCCACTGGCCCACCCTCCTAGGTGGGGATAGTCTCCGCGAGGCCCGAAGCAGCACGGCTGTACGGGTCATCCCCACCTGGGTGGGCAAGTCGGCCAGGGCGTGCCACGGCCATGCAAGCGGGGGCAGAGATCGGTTGCACGGTGCCTGCCAGGGAGAGGGAGATCGACCACAGGCAGTTTGGCAAGATCTTCCCGATCCTCGCCCGAGCCCTGGGTCTGGACAAGCAGGAGACCTCCCGGCCGGGGTGGCGGGGCCCGAAGGGCGGGAGGCGCGCCGCGAGGATGGCTCTTGGGCGGCCGACGAGTGGCACCGGGGCGGCACCAGGCCGGGGCAGCGACGTGGGCTGTCCTCGTCCTCCCAGACGCCAACGGCGCCTTCCTCCTTCTCGTCTTCCTCCTCCTCCTCCTCCTCCTTCTCCTCCTCCTCCTCCTCCTCCTCCTCCTCCTCCTCCTCCTCCTCCTTCTCCTCCTCCTCCTCCTCCTCCTCCTCCTCCCTCCAGAGCGAGCATGATACTCCTGCGAGGATTGCTGGGGCAGGCGAGTGGTACCGGCGCGGTGCCAAGGCTGCTCGCGGCTCGATCGGTTCGGCTGCGTTGCCGTCGGCGTGGACGGCCTTGGGCCGACAAGCGGCGCCAGGGCGGTACCCCGGCGGGAAAACAACGGGCGGCGTCCTCGTTGTCCTGGGCCCTGGCCGCCCACAGCGCCTCCAGAGCGTGCCTGCTCCATACAAGCGGCTCGGGCAGGAGAGCAAGGATCACCGCAGTGGTCGAGTGGAGTTGCATGTTGCATCTCTGCGAATGCCGACGCGCCTGCTCCCTCCTGTGCACTGCCATTATCCTCAATCGCCGCTTCCCCCGCCCCCATCCCCTCCGCCTTGCCCTCGCTCCCCTCCTCGCCCTTTCTCCTCCTCTTCCCCCTCCTATTAATACTGGCACTCCTCCTGTCCCGCCCGATACTCATTTTCCTCGTCTTCCTCGCCAACATCATCCGCATCATCATTGTACGTTCGTCACTGCTGGTCCCCTTTCTCGTTTGTAGGTTAATTGCCTCTTTCTTTTGAGGTTATCTATCTGTAGTTCTCGCCTTCTCTCTTTCTCTTTATCTCTTTTTTTTGTTTCTCTCTCTCTCTCTCTCCTCTCACGAGAATTCGAAGGGACCTGGGGACGCTCAGCTCAGTGCCTCGAGGCACGTTGGCGAAATATGTTTGGCATATGTATAGTTGTATGTACATATGTATACACTCCGCTATGACAACATACGCTATGTATATTTGCTTATGTCCTGAGAATTTATATTCGGTATGTATCCCTATCTGATCGTGCGCATGCACCGATCTAGGGCTCGCGCCGAGTCGCCCTGATTCTTGACCTGCGCGTTGCCCATGGGGCATCAGGGGCCTTTTCGGGATCCTGCAACCTCCATCCCCCGACCGTCGGACCGAGGTATCAGAGCGAGGTCGGTTCGGGGAGGGTGCTCCGATGCTCCTCGTGCCTGTTGGATGCTCCTGTGCATCCTGGGGAGGGTACCCCTGGATGTTCGATGTGTGTGTGTGTGTGTTGGCCAACGCAGGGTCTGATGTTCTTGGGGGATGCTCTTCAGTCCCAGGCCCGCCGGCACCCCAGGTGATCCTCAGCCACATCGCGTGGCTGAAGACCAAGATCTTCGAGGCGCCCGCTCCGTTGCTGGCCCTCGTCGTGCAGCAGTGCGCCAACCACGGCAGGGACGCCGCCCTTTGCCTTTTTTTTGTTCTGTCGCCGCCTTTTGCGGGCCTGTCGCGCCCATCCCGCTCGGGTTTCGGACATAGCAGGAGGACGGTGGGGATGAGATGTTCGAGTTTCTTCCCTGTTTTGGGAGTCTCGGGGCCCTTCCTGGGCCCCCGGGATGGTAAAAAGCGGTTCAGGATGGGACAACAGTCGCGGGGAAATACCTGCGGTCCAGGACCTGTTTCCTTCGGGGCACTTTTGAGATTGTGTTCTCGCTCTTTGGAGGTCTAACGTCCGTTACCCCCCACCCCACCCACCTTCTGCCCCCCCCCCTGCCGCCCTCCCCCCCACGTACCCATCGGCCGTTGAAAGTACGTAGTTTTGGATTCCAAGATTTCAGTATACTTTGAGCGCCCTCCTACTTTAATGATCGAGCGTCCTCACCTTCCTACTTCATGTTTCTACCTACGTTTTCCGACCGATGGGTAACTGTCACGATCGCACGGGGGGAGGGCGCCTCCCACCGCTCCCGGTCACGCTCGCAGGCACGCGGTGGCGTTCGCAGGCTTTTGTGCGGTGGCCACGCGCTTTTGCATGCTGTGGTATTCGCGCGCCACCGTGGTGCTCGTAGGCACACTGCGTCGCGCACACGCGTATGTCGGCGGCGGTGCCCTCCAGCAGACATTCGTGTGCGCCTATTGGTGCTCGCAGGCGGCATGATGTGGCGTCTGCAGCGCAACGCGGCATTGCTGCACTCTGGCGCTCGCAGGCTATCGCGACACTGCATTGTTTCCGAATGAGATAAAACCGAATGTTTGTGGCTTGGACTAGGGCTGCCGACTGTGGATGCAATAATGTCCGCACGAGTGGTTCATGCAACCAGAAGGATAATGAGCATAGAAGCAAGAGGACACTTCAGAGGACGGAGGAGGAGGACGAAGAGGAGGAGGAGGAGGAGGAGGAAGAGGGGGAGGAGGGTGAGGAGGAGGAAGAGGAGAAGGGGCGCACACGACGACGACGATGCCGACTTCTGGAGGTCTGGGGGTCCTTCGATTTCTCTGGAGGCCCAGCCTCGGTTGTAATTCTTGACGCTTTGCGCATCCCCACTAGCTTTCTAGTTCGGTGCTTGCGTTCCCCGATTTCGGGCCGCCAGCGTCCTAATGAGGGTCATTTTGCCCCTGGCACGTGCACCCGCTGCCGCGGCCTATGCGCCCCTGCAGCTAATTATCTCGCCCTGTGCCCCAGCCGAGTCCGTCACGCTTCCTGGATCTGTACTTGTGAGCCGCCAATCAAAAAGTATCCCCACCAGCTGTTAGCCCGCTGCTCGTTAGCTGCGCGTTGACTTGACGCCGTGCGATTTGTCGCTACGGTCGCGATCAAGCAGTATCCCCACCAGCCCATCCAGACACGATCGCCAGGTCAGTTGCCTTGATAAGGGCAGCGTAGACACATACAGTGCGACGGTCGCCTTGGATGCCTATCTGGGGTGCGGGGAGGGCGGGGACATTTGTTGTATGAGTTGTCGCAAGGTACGTTTAGCAGGTCGACCTGGCGCCGTTTGGGCTCCATGGGGGTCTTCTTGGGGTCCTCTTCGACATTTTTTGGCCTGCCACAGTGATGTCACCGGGGAGGGGCTCCTGCGCCACCATGCTGCCAGTGCTTTTTCCGAACGGGTTTAGAAGCATATCAGATCAGATTGCCCCGTGTGAGAAAGGGGGAAGAGGAGAAGGAGGAGGCGGAGGAGGAGGAGGAGGAGGAGGGGGAGGAGGGGGAAGAGGGAGAGGAGGAGGAGGAGGTTGCATGCGGCCCTGGATGTGTCACTCCTTGTTCCCAACCCTCCTGCGTTGGGCTCTCGTTTTGAATAGAGCACTGCTCGCGCGAACCTTCCTTCCTTCCTTCCCTCCTTCCCCCCTGCCTTTTACCTCGCTCGTCGCTGCGTGCTAGCTTGCCTCCTACCTGGTCATCCCTGTGCCACTTTCGAGGGCTGCTGGGGCCTGCGATCTGTGAAACTGTCGCCACTTTCGAGGGCTGCTGAGGGGCCCAGCACAGTGGGTACCCACCGCAGACTCAAATTAGACCTCGCCATCCCTGGGGGGCTGCGATCTGTGAAACTGTCGCCACTTTCGAGGGCTGCTGAGGGGTCCAGCACAGTGGGTACCCACCGCAGATTCAAATTAGACCTCGCCATCCCTGGGGGGCTGCGATATGTGAAATTGTCGCCACTTTCGACGGCTGCTGCGTGGCCCAGCACAGTGGGTACCCACCGCATATTCAAATTAGACCTCGCCATCCCTGGGGGGCTGCGATCTGTGAAACTGTCGCCACTTTCGAGGGCTGCTGAAGGGGCCCAGCACAGTGGGTACCCACCGCAGATTCAAATTAGACCTCGCCATCCCCGGGGGGCTGCGATCTGTGAAACTGTCGCCACTTTCGAGGCCTGCTGGGGGGCCCAGCACAGTGACCCACCGCGGACTCAAATTAGACCTCGCCATCCCTGGGGGGCTGCGATCTGTGAAACTGTCGCCACTTTCGAGGGCTGCTGAGGGGCCAGCACAGTGGGTACCCACCGCAGATCAAATTAGACCTCGCCATCCCTGGGGGGCTGCGATCTGTGAAACTGTCGCCACTTTCGAGGGCTGCTGAGGGGCCCAGCACAGTGGGTACCCACCGCAGACTCAAATTAGACCTCGCCATCCCTGGGGGGCTGCGATCTGTGAAACTGTCGCCACTTTCGAGGGCTGCTGAGGGGCCCAGCACAGTGGGAACCCACCGCAGACTCAACTTAGACCTCGTCATCCCTGGGGGGCTGCGATCTGTGAAACTGTCGCCACTTTCGAGGGCTGCTGAGGAGCCCAGCGCAGTGGGTACCCACCGCAGATGCAAATCAGACCTCGCCATCCATGGGGGGCTGCGATCTGTGAAACTGTCGCCACTTTCGAGGGCTGCTGAGGGGCCCAGCACAGTGGGTACCCACCGCAGACTCAAATTAGACATCGCCATCCCTGGGGGGCTGCGATCTGCGAAACAGTGGCCACTTTCGAGGGCTGCTGAGGGGCCCAGCACAGTGGGTACCCACCACAAATTCAAATTAGACCTTGCCATCCCTGGGGGGCTGCGATCTGTGAAACTGTCGCCACTTTCGAGGGCTGCTGAGGGGCCCAGCACAGTGGATACCCACCGCAGACTCAAATTAGACCTCGCCATCCCTCGGGGGCTGCGATTTGTGAAACTGTCGCCACTTTCGAGGGCTGCTGATGGGGCCCAGCACAGTGGGTACCCACCGCAGACGCAAATTAGACCTCGCCATCCCTGGGGGGTTGCGATCTGTGAAACTGTCGCCACTTTTGAGGGCTGCTGAGGGGCACAGCACAGTGGGTACCCACCGCAGACTCAAATTAGACCTCGCCATCACTGGGGGGCTGCGATCTGTGAAACTGTCGCCACTTTCGAGGGCTGCTGAGGGGCAGGCACAGCACAGTGGGTACCCACCGCATACTCAAATTTGACGCCGGTTTCGTCCTTGTTCTCCTCCTGCAGTCACCTTCCCTCTGCTGTTGCCGTGCAGATGGTTCGGCTTCCCGCACGTTTTTCTCCTGCTCTGCGTTCCCGATTCCCCATGTCCTCTTCGAGCCTGTAGATGTCGCCCCTCGTTCTTGTATGGTTCTCCTGCGCATCATGCCATAGGCGCGATTTCCAAGTAGCTTACACATCAAGTTGATTGTCCATGCAAGTTTCGGCCAACTCCTCGTTTCCATTGATACAAATGTGTTGGGTACGTCACAGGGTAATTATTTTCCTACGCGTGTTTAGAACAGCATGAAAATCATACTGCCACGAATTAGAGGGAGGAGGAGGTGGAGGTGGAGAGGTCTTGGTGTCTCTTGGGGCTTCTTGAAGCGTCTTTGATACCTCTGGGGGGCCTCTTGGAGCCTCTGTGGTCTCTCGTGGGGGCCTCTTGGGTGCCTCTTGACGGCCTCCCCAGTGATGCTGGGCGCCTCCCTGGTGATGCTGGGCGCGTTTTGGGGCTCTTGGGGCCATCTTGGAGGAGATCGATCAAAGAAGGACGGTCTGAACCCCCGTCCCCCCTCGGAGGCTCCAAGATGGCCTCTTGGGGCCTTCTTGGGCCGCTCTTGGGCGTCTCTTGGGTGCTCTTGGTGTTGTCTTGGGGCCGCCTTGGGCCTCTCTTGGGGCTCTCTTGGGTTGTCTTGGTGCCATCTCGGGGCCTAAGAGGCCCATCGGAAGCGAAAAAGCGAGAAGACCAACAACCTTGCTTTTCCCCAGGTGTTTCAGAAGGATTTGGGCTTGGAGGCTTGTCGGAGGCTCTCTTGAGCGATGTTGAGGTATCTTGAGCCGTCTTGAAGGCCCTCTTGGGCTGTCGAGGGCCCTTTGGAGCCATCTGGGACCATCTTGGGCGCTCTAACGGCTCCGTCCCCCCCCTCCTAGGCCAAGGGGAGGGGGTAGGGGGAGGGGTCAAGCTTCCCACCCGCCCGCAAGCCGTCTTTCTCATTCCCACCTGCCCTCCCAACATATGCATAACACCAGGGAGTCGGCATATCGTGCAAGAACGCCGCAGTCGCCACGGGTTCCAGATGCACTAGGCACTGGAGGCCCAAGCGTGCCAGGCGCGCCAGGTGCGGCACGGGCTCCACGTGCGCCCAGTGTTCCACGTGCTCAAGCCGCGCCAGGTGCGCCAGCCTCTGGGAACCAGTAGGGGCTCTTGGGCCCGGCTTTGAGCTCTCTTGGCCGATTTTGGAGCCCTGTGGAGGTTTCGAAGTCCAATCGGAAACGGTAAGGCGACAGGGCAGCAGCCCTTGACGTGCAAAACCAGTCGGTCGAGTACCTGCGCCCAGAAGGCAGGTGGGATCCGCTGGCACCGCAGCCGTCCCCTGCAAAAGGCCAGCACGACATGGTCGCGGGGCGGCCGCGCGGGCTCCAGATGTGGGGGCAGAGCGCGTTTCGTATCTTTGTTCGACAGGGATGGTCGGAGGGTGGCCCTCCCGAGGTTGGCATGGTTCCGCGCTGGCCGCTGGCCGGGCGGCGGAGGGGGTGCACACTGACCAGGGAGCAGGGGTGCGTAAGCCCATCCCCCGGGCAGGGGGCTCCGTGACAGGCCCAGGGGGCCGGTGGGATTTGAGATCTGGGAGCTGTGTGGCCCGATGCCGCGGCAATCGTTTCGACGCGTGCGTCCCAAGGGCCTTCATTCCTCGCTGCGTGCCCGAGCGAGAGGAATTGTAGAGTGTGGCTGGAGTTTATATTCGGGCAGGCCTCTTGGTCCCTCCGTTTGCCCCCCCCCACCCCCACCCCACAGCCTTGGCACACTGATACACTGGTGACACCAGCCAGTGGAGAGGTAAATAGTCACTGCGCGCGCTCACCTGCAGAATGTGCTCGCAGCCTAGCTGCGGCACTCACAGGCACGCTGTGTCGGTCACAGGCACGCTGTGTGATACTGGTCCGCCGCACAACTGTGCATACGAAGTACGGTGATGTTGTGGTGCTGTTCTGGATGTCCAAAGGCCTCCAGGCAGAGTGCCGGCAGCCTCCAGGGGCCTCCACAGACATCTCCGAGGGCCTTAAGAGGTGTCTGGTCGACGTCGTCGTCGTCATCGTCGTGGCCGTGGTCGTCGTCGGTGACGCGCATCTAAACTTGTGCGGGCGCCGCCGCCACAACCCCCGCCGCCCCGCTCGTTACAGTGACCCCCCCCCCTGCCTCCTCTCGCGCCCTCCCCCCCGCAAGGGGTAACGGACGTTACCCCCAGAGGTACAAAGGACAAAATGAACCCGGCGCGACCCCAAGTAGGGCAAAGTTTCGTATGTTTGAAATCGAGCAACGAAGACGAAGAAATTGTTCTGCATTGCTTTACTCTGCTTGGCATCACTGTGATGCTGTTGATATTGCATGCCCTGGCATTGCGTGGAATCGTTTCACATTGCTTGACATTGCATGGAATTGCCTGCCATCGCTCGGCATCGCTTGGCATTGCCTGGCGCTGCTCGGCATTGCTTGGCATTGCCTGGCGCTGCTCGGTATTGCTTGGCATTGCCTGGCGCTGCTCGGCATTGCTTGGCATTGCCTGGCGTCGCTCCGCTTGGCTTGGCGTCGCTTTGCTTTGCATTGCCTTAGCTGGCAGCTGGACAACAGTGCGACTGGGACAGCCGGGCAGCCGGGCAACCCGCGTGCAACCCGCGGGCCGGGACCCGGGTAGCCTGAACCCGGGCGGCAACCCGGGCAACCAGGCAACCGGGCAGTGGGCAATCCTTGGCAACCGGGCGGCCGGGCAACCCGAGGAAGGCTGAGCAGCCACGGGGAGCGCAGGCAGGAGCTCTTCACAAGCAGGTAGGACACCTCTTTGCCCAGACTCCCTCGCGTCGTGAACAAATCGCGACGGGAGGTGTGTCGCTATCTTTGGCCTCTGCGCCCTCACCGGGCCTCGGGGCCGTCAAAAGACGACTCAGGACGAAACACCGGTCCCAGAGGATGGGTCCGGGCCTCTGGGGGTCGCGTCATGAAAAAGCATGACGTCGGGGGTCTGGGTAGGCACGGCGTGATTGGGGAAGACGTCATCTTTTACGTCGAGTAACTCCGTGTCGCAACGTCGGCGGCCTACGGGCAAGTGGAATTATGGAGGACCCTGTGGCTTCTTGTGCTCTTTTGGGGGGGGCTGCGTCTGGCTGGGGCTAGCGCGCTGCCCCGCCTCTGGAGTCGCCCCCAGTCATCCAGAAGACGGCGGGGCTCGGCTGAAGTTGAGGCCCGTGCCCGGTCAAGATGAGGCTTCGCGCATCGTGACCTGGGCTGGTGAAGCTGCTCGTCTCCAGTGGTTCCTCCAGGGGGGCGGCGCGAGAGCGCATTGATGATCGGGCAGCGCGAAGCGCCGGTGTGGGGTGGCCTGGGCTTGCTCTCAGAAAGAAGCCCTCCCAGAGCAGACAGAAAAAGGAGGAGGCCTACCGGAGCTCGCCCGACGTGAGCATCTTGGACATCCGCTTCACGCTGAACGATCAGGCGAGCCCTCCGCGCCAATGTCGAGCAGTGACGAAGCGTCCAGGCTTGCCTATAAGCCCACCAAATAATGTTCTGAGAACCTTTGGTGGTTTGCACGAATTGTTCTTAGAACATTTCTGGCTGAAGCTGTCTTGTTATGATGCCTCGGTTTTTTGCTATAGGAACTTCGGTATTGCTCGTAGAATATTCTTTTGTTTTAAGATCATATGAGCGGCGCAAAGACGGGGTCGTTTGCGCCGACAGTGGCGCGTAAGCTGCCCGCGTGAACTCGCACGTAAGTGCCCTCGTCTCCAATGCAGCGTGTCGCGCCAGCGGCCCGCGTAAGGTGCGGCGTTAGGTCGCTACGTCATCTTGCGTACGACCTGTTTTCGATCGTCGTTCATGCCGTGGCAGGCCTATAGTGCTGGGACGGTCTTTCCCTGCTCGGTGGGGAGGGGGCGCAGCGCTGGCGGCGTGAAGACGCGCTGGCGCCTCGGGCGTGGCTTCGCAAGCCGTTCATTGCGCTGCATTCGTCCGTCTGCGCTCGGATCGACTACGCGTAAGAGAGATCCTTCGCCAGAGTGACCTTCGGTGCGGGCTCATCGGGGTCCCCCCGATCGCTGGGCGCGCTTGGATTTGGCCACTTTGCGCCCCCTTTGGTCCGCGCACCAGAGGTGACTCTTGTCTAGGGGCGCTCTTGGATGTAGCCAACTGGAGAAGGAAAAGAGGCAGACATGCACGGAAACTTCCGGAGGTCCGCGTGCATTTCTCAGATCGGCATTGGCGCGAACACATATAGCTGCACACGGGCGCATCATTATGTCAGTGAGGGAGTGGGTGCAGCGTTGTGCAGCGGGTGCGGCTTAGGTACGGCGGCACAGGTATCTTGCCGCATCCAGCCTACGAGGGAGTAGACACTGGAGGCACGCCGATCGGCGTCGACTCCCCTCTTATCCTTCGCTGGTAGACATCTTCATTTCCGGCCCTCCTCCTCCTCCTCCTCCTCCTATCCGTTCCTCCTCCTCCTCCTCCTCCTCCTACTCCTCCTCCTCCTCCTCCTTCTCCTCCTCTTCTGCCTTCTCATCCGTGGCGGTTTTGGCTCAAGCCGATTCCACCCCAGTTTCCGTCTTCTTCCCGCCACAATCACGGGCTCCCTGGCGCCCACTTCCATATCTCGCGCTCATACTGTTGTGTGTTGCGGTTGGCATATCCTGCAACGTGACAAGTCGCGCGGCGGCAAGCAGTGTACCTTCGTCATGCCAATGGTTGTCGACAAACAAGGTGTTCCCTGCGGCAAACATGGCAAGCCTCCCGGCCCCTGGTTCGATGTTTTTCCCAAGTCGCATGCTCACGAACCTCCAGTCCACCTTCGGCAACAGCTCGTGAAAACGTTCGCCACGCAGGTCAGAATCGCCACCGAATTATTCGAAACGACCACCAGGTCTGTCATGGAATCCGCCCGCTCACGGTTCCTCGCTTCCATCACGTCCATCGCCGCCGACGGCAACACCAAACATGAACAAACCGAGAGAGACCTGCAGGACACTAAAGCCGGAACTTCAGCCACAGAAGTGGTTACCCGAGAACTACGAGATTCAGTCGACAAACTCCAGAAGATCGTGGATGACGCGGGGTCCCGCAGCCCAAATTCCGACGTGGTCAACATTGGGGCGTGGGACAGAGCTGCAGATCCATGCGTTTTCTGGTGTGGATGCGCAACCCCATTTACTGTCGACGGTCTCAAGAACGCATTGGAATCGTGGTTCACGGAGGCACAAGTCAGCGGCGACCAAATATCGTTCAACACCTCAGGCAACAGCAAGCGCCACAGTTTCTCCCTCAGTGGTGGCACAGTGGTTGCATAATCGCGCGCACGTCGCTTACACAGAGCACTACAAGACGGACGAGCAAAGCGTGAGTTCAGTATCTCTGTTGGTGGTGTTGCTCCCACTGCGCTATAGGCTATACGTGTCAGCCGACAAGATCCCGCGAGCTGTGCGCCGAGAAGTCCAGCTCAAGGGCATGGGCAATATCATCAGCCTGCGTCTCGACCACGTCACCCTCCGCTGGCACAGGGGCCAGGGCTACATCTCATGCAAGATTGAGGTTTTGGTTCAATTGCGTGTGGGCAGCACTCGTGATGAGCCGGCTACCATGCTCTGGACAGCTGCTGCAGTACGACTTCGGCACTAATGACCAACAGCAAGATAGATTTCGCGCCGCCTTCGGGCCCAGCTTCTCCTACGCTCTGGCCTCTGCGCAGTGGCCTCGACCATCGATTGGCACCCTGGCCGAGCACGCCCCCCCGTGCCCGTCATGAACATTGCATTCAGGAGCGCGCAGGCGCTCAACGGAGTCTCGGATCTGCATCGTCAAGTGAAGCGCCGCATGATCCGAGCTCCACCTCGCCAGCGAGCCCTGATGGCGCGGCTGGAGACGCACGGCGCGACCGTCGACATGGACGTCCTCGCGCGCTCCACGCGGGACAAGTACCTGGCGCCCCACTCCAGTATCACGAACCCCACTTCGGACGGCTGCAGTGGCTCCCTCTTCCCCTGCGGCCCAATCGAGCCAAGCCGCCCGCCCGAAGCGCGGCCACTGCGGCCCTTCGGAGTGGTCGCTCCACGGCGAGCAGCATGGCTCAGCATTGCGGGCGCCGCCCGCACCTAGGACGTCACTGCGTTGAGTTCTCACAGACACGAGCCGTCCCCGAGTGACAAAGAGACGATGCCTCATCAATGGTTTCAACTGATCGCCATGCTGCTGAAGACCCTCTCGAGTGCACAACCATCATGCCGCGCGACTGTCACATCTCCCCCCGAGCACGGCCCCAAGAACGCGTTGCCAGCGCCTCATGACCCCCTGGAAGCAGCTGCTCCAGGGGGCATTGGAAATCACGACCCCCTCCACCACGCATCGCACCATCGCCCACCTCAAAGAGAGCACGATGGCCCGCTGCTTCAGTTCACTGCAGTCGCAGATCTTCCCCAAGATGGACATCGTGCTCTACGCTGATGACGCCCCCATGGTCGGTGCCGGTTGATCGGCAAGCGATCGCAAGATTCCACAATGTCGTCTCCGTCCTGCCCGCAGCAGGCCGCGCGTAGCGCTCGTGGTGATGGCTCTCGCCTTTGACTAGCCGCGCTGCGCGCGCCCCTGCAAGACCTTCGCTGAGGCGCACGACGTGGCCCATTCCTCTGCCGTCCACCTACGCCGTTTCTAAGGGCCCCCGATGAGCGCGGCCGCCCGCCGCGCCGGAGACTCCATGACCTCCGCCCTTTCCGCCGCGCTCTGAGCGCAGACGGGGATTTCCCGCGGGGGCGTTCGCGGCATGAGCCCTGGCACCATCGCCGAAGTCACTGGCCATCGGGGTCCCCGACGTCTGCATCGCGGAGAAATGGCCGACAACGCCGACAGCGGCAACGGTGACGTCGCGATTGATGGCGTCCTTGCTCCATTGACAGACTCCGCCGGCTTCGCGCGAGAGGCCGCCGAGGGCGCTCGCGATTTGCTTCGCCTAGCGCCCGAGAGCGCCAGCGCGCGACATCTTCGGCATGGCCCTTTTGACCAACATCGACTCCAACGATGTCAGGCTGCTGCCCTCCGCCGCGCCGTGGAGGCCGGCAACTGGGGCGATCGCGGGATAGCACTACTGGCGACGCTCGCATGACCTACGGCCGCCTCAGCAGCGTCGCCGCCGATTGGTCGCTGGCGCGCCGACGGCTAGGTCGATCCGATCCCAATCGCGCCGCTTAGAATTGGCGGAGCCAGTGCCAATTGCGCCTTCTTCAGCAGTGCCGGGGGCTCGCGCGTCAAGCGCCTCGCCCGCGTCGTGGGCTCGCCCCAGCCTGACGCCGGCGCTCTCCATGCTGCTCACCGGCGCGCCGCTCGCCGCCTGGCTGCGGCCCCAGTGCGTCAGCTTGCCCAGCGAGGGGGGGCCCTGCGCCAGAAACGATCACCGACGCGCACTACATCGCGATCAAGAAGCGCCTTCAAGTAAATTTCTCCGTCGTCCCACGCCTGCTAGACGCGGAGATTCAGCGCGCGCAATGCGCGACAGCGGCTCCCAAACCGCGCTGCGCGCTGGGCCGGCGCCCGGTCTTCCGCCCCTAATAGGGGGCCGCGGCGTCGAATTCAAGCGCGGCCGGCACAGCTGGCGCGAGGCTTTTTTCTACCGCGCGCTCAGCCTCGACCCGGTCCAGCCGCTGTTCCGCGCGCGGGCTCGCTGTTGTCGCCTCGTCGCCGAGCTTTGCGAGCGCGCCTGGGCCGCCTCCGACTCGGCGCGCAGCCGCCTGGAACCCGCGCGCCTCGGCGACATGGGCCGCGCCGCCGCGTGCTGCCGCCGCCAGGGGGCGCTGCGCCGCTTCACGCTCGCTGAGCATCATGCCCGCCGCCGCTGGACGTGCAGCCAGCGCGACCTCTACTCGGCCGAGTCCGACCCGCGGCTCCCCCACGGCGACGTCGAAGAGAAGCAGTGCCAGACGAGCCAGACCCGGTCCAGACGAGCGAGCTCCACGCGGACATTGCCAAGAGCTGGATCCACCTCCGCAAGTTCTTGACGACCCAGTCTCCACCGCACATGGATTACCCTCATTGCCCTCTCGGGCACGTTGTCGACCGCGGACCGCGCGCACGTGCGCCCGCAGAAACACCGGAGCATGCATAGATAGGACCGCCACGACTCCAGACTGCTCTTCCTCCAGCACCCCATGTCCGCCGCCTCGCGCGCGCCCGCGGCCTGCCGCGCGCGCCCCCAGCGCACGCGGGGCACCCCGTCCACCCGTCGCCATACATCGGCGAGAACGGGACCGCCAGCCCGACCATCCGCTTGTGCCTCGCCTCCCACATGTGCTACCTCATGATTCGAAGGACTACATCGTCACGGACCCGATCGCGTCCCACACCGCCTCCCTCGCCGTCCGCCGTGCCCGTCGCTCCCCCGCTTCCCTGAGCGGAGGCCTGGCCCGCGCGCAGCAGCGCAGGTAGCCCAGCAACCGAACGTGGCCGCCAGCTACGTTCGCTCCTCCCCCTTCTCCTCCTTCTCTTCTCTTCCTTCTCCTCCTCTTCCTCCTCCTCCTCTCAGTTCCTTCTCCTCCTCATCCGCCTTTCCCTTCCTCCTCCCCGGCGCCCCCTCCGCGGAAGAAGTGCCTCCACTCTTTCCTCCCGCTGCTTGCCATTTCCATTGCGTCCCTTTCCCCCCCTCCCTATTTCATTCCTGCCCCCCGTTCTCATCCCCCCTCCCCCCCTCCCCTTTCCGGGTCTCTCCCCCAGGAGCAGAAACTACCCCCGCTCTTTTTCTCCTCGCAGCCAAACTTCCAGGTGAAGCTCTGCGTAAACGGCCACATCGTGGAGGATAGGGACTCCGGCACCGCGGGCATTCCGGCCACGGAGGACGCGCCCGGCCGCGCCCCCTGCGTTCCACCCCCTCCCCACGCGGCCACTGCGGTTTTTTTCCTGGGCTCGTCCGGGTGGGATTTGCCCGGAGGGGGAGGGCGGGGTGGCGGGTCTGCATCCTTCTCCCACATTCCTGCTCCTTGCTCCTCCTCCTGTTCATTCTCCTCCTCCTCCTCCTCCCTTTCCTCCTCCTGCTGGTTCCTGGTTCCCCGTTCCTGGCGGCATGAGGTCCCTCTGGGAGCTGCCCTCTCCCCCGCCAGGGGGAAGGGGGGCGGTGGCGGCGACGTTGCAAGCGGAAGGCGAGGCGCAACAAGCAAACGGGCAACGTTGGCCTGCCAGTGGGTGGCGAAGGCGGCAGTGTGTGTCGGCGCGGCGAAGGTCACGTTCGCCGCAGGTCGGGTGGCGCAAGTAGGGGGACGGAAAATGGTATAATCATAAATCACTCGGAGGTCCGCGCGGATTTCTTGGATCCGCGCTGGGCCCCCCTCCGTGGCGAGCGGAACGCGCCAGGGGCGGCGTCGGAGGCGCCGCCAGGGGGCCCCAGCGCCGATCCGAGTTTGTTATGTGAATGTCATTGGTTGTTCCCCTACTTGCGCCACCAGGCCTCCGGCGAGCGTGCCCTTCGCCATGCCGACCCACGCTGCCGCTTCCGAGTTTTTATATATATATATATATGTATATATATATATATATGTTTGTGTGTGTGTGTTTATGCCATTATTTGTTCCAGCGCCGCCGCGGGTTGGGTTAAACAGCAGGGCGGGAGGAGGAGAAGGAGGAGGAGGACGTCGTGAAATCACTGCCGCTGTCGGCGCTGAGTTTTCCTATGCGGATTCTTCGGCGGGGGCCACGAGTGTCTTCGCCTACCAGCCCACGCGTCCCTCGGGATGCTTGCTTGCATTGCTTGCTCCCCTGGCAGGGGGCCTCTCCCACCTCTCCTTCCAGGGCCCCAGCGGAGGAGGGCCTGGCCCCGCCCCCATTTGGCGCAGTCCTGGCTCGGCTCTGCCCTTGCGGCACCCCCCATCAGCCGCAAGACTGTTGCGCGTCGATTCGTGGGGGGGGGGGGGGGGGGGGCCCGCCTCGCCGTCGGGAAGGACAGCCCCCGTCGGTGCCTTTGAGCCCTCCACCTCCCCGCCCCTGGGGCGGGGCGAAGGGGGGGTTCTCGAGCCGTGGTGCGACTGCGGGGGGCCACCCGGAGAGAGCCCCCATTCTCGGAAGCGCGGGGGGGGGGCTTGGCGCCCTCCTGCAGCTGCGGCCCCCACGTCGCTGCAGCTGTGCCAACCCCGGTCTTAGGTCTGGCAGGTCCCTTCGCAAGGGGGAGCGTTCCAACACATGTTTAAAGTAGTAGGGGGACGATGCTTCTACGATTGCTTGACAATTTGCGAGTGTGTTTCGACTATGTTTTTTAATTTGTCTTCCAAGATCCACCTGTAGGAGGACATGCCCGACCCAACCCCGATCCCAACCATACATACCTCCACACTGTCCCTTCGTCGGTGTTGCGCCTGCGCAAAGTGGCTAGCGCGGTAGAGGCGCGGCCAAAAAGGTATGTGCCAGCGGCAAGTCGAGAGATGCGAGGAGAACAGCTGCGGCGAGGTCGAAAGATCATGCTTTTGCTGAGACCTGGTGCAGTGGATGCGGCTAGGGCCACACTCGCCAAAGGGAAGGCACAAGGGCCTCTCCCCTTAGCCACAGGGCATCCCGATGGGATGGCCCTCACTCGCCGACAATGGGCCGTCGCCCGCCAAGGAGGGCGATCGGCTCTCAACACGTGCCTGGGGGCCACCGTGGGATGCCCAGCAGCCGAGAGCAGGTTTGAGCCTTCCTGTGGCGGCGCTCCCTCTGGCAGGCGGTAGTCCCCGCCCCCAGCCGTATGGTATGACAACCCTCCCCGGCCCACGGTTTGATGTTGTCGCTGGCTGCGCTGTGGACAAAGAGCGGGGTTAAAACGACCGGTGGCGGGAGTGCCGCACTGACGTGCCCAGGATGTTCTGATCGGCTGCACAGTCGTTTATACAGCACAGCGCCTGCAGTCATCCTGGCGATCGCCAGGGCGGTGAGCGATTGCCGCATGCCGCGGCGCCGTTCCAACAATAAACCGTCGCCCACCTCGTCGCCATGATAGACAGCAGTGCAGCGGGCTGAGTGGCCCGATGGGCTGCCATGGTAGAGCAAGGGGCAACATGCAGAGGCGGTGGGAGCGGACGCGCCGCCAGGGCGAAGTGCCGCAGGCCGCAGGCGGCCAGGCCTTTTCGCCAGGGTGGCGGGCTGGCAGTGCCCCCCCCCCTTCCCCTATGCGTATATCCCGCCCGTCCCTCCGCCACAAGGAGTGGGCAGGTGAAGGCTGGTGGGGCGAAGTGGGGGGCCCTCAAGCGCTCAACTGCACCGATCTTTTTGCCCGCCCGCGTCCGCTGCGCCCGCCAAGTGAAATTGCGCTTTGCCGCGTTGCTAAGTCCGTCGTTTTTTCCAGCCGCCAGACGCCACGGTCGGTCATCGGATCTAGGCCCGCGCAACTTAAAAACGTGGGGGGGTGCAAGAAGGTGAACGCGGAGGGAGTGAACGTTGGGAAAGGCACTCTCATGGCAATCTCGCGGCACGTCGGTTGAATGGCACACGTGTGTTGGAGAGCCACGGCGGGTTTTGAGGCCCCGTGTTGCCGTGGGCCCACGGCATAGCAACGCGCGTTGCAGGCGTGCTCGCCTTAGGTGCTGTGCTGTGTGTGATGTCCATTGGAAGGCTCGTGGAGGTGTTGTGCGCCGCCGCCAGGAATTTTTGAGGTGGTGGACGCGGAGGTACTCAGTGTGGGCCAACTGTTGTTGTTGCTGGGCACGTAGGTCGGAGTGCCCAGTGAGTGCGGCTGCAGGGAAGAAGAACAGTACCGAGATATGGATGTGGGAGAGAGCAGCTGGCCGCTGGTGGTGTATGCTGTCGGTAGGAGCAAACCTGGTCAACAACAAGTTAGGTAGGTGGCGCACCGATGGGCCGCCGTTCGGCGTGTCCTATCTTGAGGCGCGTGCCTCGCGATTGAAGGTGATCAGGGGGGGGGTCTCCTGAATCACCAGGTTGGTCGGCTGATCGGGCTGGTAGACGTGTGCGAAGGGTGGCCACGGATTCATGGTGGTTCTTCTCCGCTTGGGCTGGCAGTGTCGCTTGTCAGCTGTTGAAGTGGCGTCAGGCTGGGGCCAGCGGGCATGGTCATGGCAGCGTCGATCGCCTGCTTGGCCGTGTAGTGCAGCTCATCGCCCCCGATGAAGGCCCCGTCTTCGCTGTCGTCGTGGTTCGCATTGATGTCGGATATCAGCAGTGGGTGCCTCGTGTCGTCGATGTCGTTGCCCATCGTCTGGATGTTGCCGTCGGCGATCATGATGCGGGTTGGTGCCGGCATCCGTTGCGCAGCGTCGGTGTCGGTTGCCAGCAACGGGTGTTTCTCCTCGATCAGGCGTCGGGGCGCAAAGTGGAACAGGTCCCTGCTGAGGGTGTCGGCGGTGTGGAGTAGGTCCCGCTCCTGCGACGCTGAGCCTGATGGTACTGAGCCTAAGTGCGTGGGTTCTGTGGCGCTGTCGTTCTGTCTCGCGGTGCTCGGTTCTCCATGCGTGTGGTGGTTGTCCGTCACATTTCCCTCATTTGGTGACCCGCCGCTGTCGTCATCGCTGTCGGCTCCCGCTTGATACTTCTTGACAGTGCATTGCAGAATAGCGTTCTCGCTTGGGACTTCAACCGATTTCGCTTGATATGTCTTCGCGATTTATTAAGATGCCTGTCCTCGACACTCAGGAATCGCGCTCCAGCTACAAATTGCCTGGCGGTTCAACCAGGACTCACGCTTCAACGACCCGCCCGCTCGACCCGCCCGTCGGGGCCTGCCCGCCCGCCCAGCCCGTTAATGACTGCAGTCGCCGCTCGCTGCCCTTCGCCCGCCTTCGATGCCCCTCGCTGCCGGTACTGGTTCCGCGGTCGCCTTCGCTCGCTGCCCTTCGTGGCCCCATTGCTGCCCTCAGTGGCTCAGTCGCTGCCCTTTGTGGCCCCGCATTATATACCCTTCGTGGCCCCCGCTCGCACGCGCCCGTCGTGGCCCCATACGCATGCCCTTCGTAGCCCCGCTGTCGCCCTTCGTGGCCCCCTCGCTGCCCTTCGTGGCCCCTTTGCTGCCCTCAGTGGCCCAGCTGTCGCCCTTTGTGGCTCCGTATACGAATGCCCTTCGTGGCCCCCGCTCGCTCGCGCCCGTCGTGGCCCCATCTGCATGCCCTTCGTGGCCCCGCTGTCGCCCTTTGTGGCCCCCATCGCTGCCCTTCGTGGCCCGGGTGCTGCCCTCTGCGGCCCCGTCGCTGCCCTCTGTGGCCTCGGATTTTATGCCCTTCGTGGCCCACGCTGGCTTTTCTTACGATTTACTTAGGAATCGCGCTATCGCTCGAGACTTTCTCGCGATTCATGCAGGACCCACGCTTCAGCAACCCGCCTGCTCGACCTCGTCGCCTGGGCCAGCCTCCCCGGCCTGCCCGCGACGGGTCTGCCCACCCGATCTGCCCGTCTGGTTCTACCTCTTGTTTTCTGCTCTTTGCCCCCCTACACCTCAGGCGATGCTTAAGAAAACTTAAGTTTTCGGCCAGAGTCTCGATTATTCTTAACGTTTCAATGTAAATCCTAAGATTTGAATTGAAACTTTAGGTTTTTATTCAAGTTCTGAGACTATGAATTTCTTAACCCATGATTTCTTAAGCATTTCGCAGGGTGTATCGTGATAATTTTTCTCGTGCTCCATTGTTCTCCCTCCCCCTTCCGCCCGTCCTCGCTTCCCTTGTTTTTTCGGGGCTGCACGTGGCAGGTGAGGAAGATCTGACCCCCAGGGAGGTACGATCGAAGACGACGAGGGCGGGCACCGAGGGCTTGGGATACGCGTATTGATTAGCACGTGAGCAGATAGGAGCGAACAGTCTTGAGATGGTTGTTGTTGTTGTTGCTGCTGTTGTTGTTGTTGTTGTTGTTGTTGTTGTTGTTGCTGTTGTTGGCCAGGGCCGTCCCATTCCGGCTCGCGGGCCTCGAGTTTGTAGGAGTATGATTTGGCGTTCCATATAGTTAGGTTCGGGGTTGGGCACACGCCCATAAGCCGCGGCGTTGGCACCTTTCTCCTCCTCCTCCTCCTCTCCGAACGCGTTCGTTGGGCTTTTTTTCTGTCTCGTCACGTCTGGGCTTTTTGCTGGACCCCCCCGCCGCCTCGGGGGGGCATTCGCACGATGCCCGGCTCCCTCGGGGAGGGGGGGAACCCCCTCGTATCCGTCCTCCTCCTGCCGCTGCTCACCCCCCTCGTCACTCGTCCGTGTGCGCCGCTCTGCTCCTCTCGGCACGGGGCCAAGCGGATTTCCCATTCCTCTCCCCCCCTTCTCCGCCGCTCTCCCCCCGCCCCCTTCCCCCCCCCCCCTTCTCCCCCCCTCCCGGCACCCTTCCTTCGATTCCTCGCACGTCCCCCCCGTCCCCCGCAACCCCCAATTTCCCTCCCCGATCGCTGGGCGCCGCGCGCTGGCGGCGCAGATGCCGGGCAGGGCGGCGCCGAGGAGAAGCAGGGCGGGAAAGGGGAGGGGGAGGCCACTGGGTGCTACACAGTGCGATGTCCTGGTGGTGGCACAGGGTGCGGGATCATGGGGGATGTATGCAGTTGTCCCGGCGAGGGACCCAACCATATGAAGACGTCAGCACCTCAGGGCCAGTGGGGCAAAGGAGGGGGGATCTCCTCACAGGGCCACGGGGCGTGAGGGGTATGCTGACATGAGCGGGGTTGAGCATGCGGGCACCGCCGCGAGGCCTTCGGTGGAGCTCTTTGGGGGCAGGCCACGCAACGCGCGAGGGGCGTGCCGAACTGGGTCGGGGGAGACGCACACGACGATCGCAGCCACTGGGGCCTCCGGTGGAGCGCTTGTGCGAGCGCCTGGAAAGCGCGTGGGAACGCTTGGGAGCGCCTGGCTTGGGAGCGCCTGGGGGCTCTTGGGAGCGCCCGGGAACTCCTGGGGCGCTCGGGAGCGCCTGGGAGCGCCGGGAGCGCCCGGGAGCGGCGGGGAAGCGCCCGGGAGACCTGGGAAGTGCCTGGAGCGGCCCGGGGGCGCCCAGGAGCGCTGGGAGCGCTTCGGAGCGCCTGGGAGCGCCTGGGAATGCCTGGGAAGCGCCTGGGAGCGCCTGGGAGCGCTTGGGAGCGCCTGGGAAGCTGGCAGCGCCTGGGACCGCCTGGGAGCACACGGGAGCGCTCGGCGGGGAGCGCCTGTGGGATCGCCTGTGGGAGCGCCTGGGCCTGGAGAGCGCCTGGGAACGCTTGGGAGCGACAGGCGTTTGGGAGCGCATGGGAGTGCCCGAGACCGCGTGGGAGCGCCTGGGAGCGGTTGAGGGCGCCTGGGAAGCGCCACGGAGCGCTTGGGAGCACCTGGGAGCGCTTGGGAGCGGTTGAGGGCGCCTGGAAGCGCCTGGGTGCTCTTGGAAGCGCCTGGGAGCGCCCTGGAACGCCTGGGAACGCCGGGGAAGCGCATGGGAAAGCGCCTGTGAGCGCCTGAGGGCGCTTGGGAGCGCGTGGATGCTCGGGAGCTCCCAGGCGCACATGGGAGCGCCTGGGAGCGACTGGAAGCGTGGACGAATGTGGTCACAGCCACTGGGGCCTTCGAAGGCCCCCCCATGGGGCCACGAAGTGCTGTATTGGGTTGCGCAGACGCATCGTGTCACAGGCATTGGGGCCTTCAGTGGAGTTCTCTACGTATTGGGCCACGAAGCGCTGTATTCTCGTGCGCGGGCTCATCTGGTCACAGGCACTGGGGTTTTCGGTGGAGTTCCCTATCTGACCACGACACGCTGTCCTGGCTGGCGCGGACGCATGTGGTCACAGGCACTGGGGCATTCGGTGGAGCTCCCTATGGGGCCACGACGCGCTGCTTTCTCGTGCGCGGACGCATGTGGTCACAGGCACTGGGGCCTTCGGTGGAGCTCCGTACGGGGCCACGACACGCCGTATTTTCGTACGCGGACGCATGTGGTCACAGACACTGGGGTCTTCGGTGAAGTTCCCCATGGGGCCACGAAGCACTGTACTGGGTGGCGCGGACGCATGTGGTCACAGGCGCTGGAGCCTTCGGTGGATCCCCCTCTATGGAGCCACGAAGCGCTGTATTTTCGTGCGTGGACGCATGTGGTTACAGCCGCTGGGGCCTTCGGGGGAGCTGCCTATGAGGCCACGAAGCGTTGTAGCCTCTTGCGCCGACGGATTCGGTGGAGTTGCGTATGAGGCCACGACACGCTGTATTCTCGTGCGCGGGCGCATGGGGTCACATGCACTGGGGCCTTCGGATGAGCTCCCTGTGGGACCACGAAGCACTGTACTGGATGGCGCGAACGCATGTGGTCACATCCATATGAGCCTTCGGTGGATTCACCTATGGAGCCACGACGCGCTGTATTCTCGTGCGCGGACGCACGTGGTCACAGCCACATGGGCCTTCGGTGGAGCTCCCATGTGGGGCCACGGAGCGCTGTTCTGGGTGGCGCGGACGCATGTGGTCACAGGCACTGGGGCCTTCGGTGGAGCTCTCTATGGGGCCATGGCGCGCGGTAT